ATGGTGATTGGAGCTTGTTGTTGATGTTGGTGGTGTTGGTTGGGTATCTTCATCACCTCTGTCTTCTCCACACTCACTTGAAGTCCCGTTTTCACTGCCCTGCCTCTTCTGTCAAGTTGTTGGGTTTCGCCTGTAGATCTTCAAGTTTGTGCGACATTAGACACAAGTCATGGGTGAAATGCAAATCCTCTTCTCGGGTTTTTTCCCCCGTCCAGCCAGCGTATCCCCCTCTTCTCGCTCCTCACAGTTTGTTGCATGATCCAGTCCAGTCGACCCCAATCAGGAATATCATGGGTGATAGTAGACAGCCTTGTCCTACTCCTGTATCCACTTCAAAGGCGTCACTGAGCTTCCCATTATGAATCACTTGGCTGGCATGTGGCGTCTGAATATAGCTGTTGAATGAGGCTGATAGAAGTTTGTGGTATTCCGTAGTGTTGAAGCAACTGCCAAATTACTTGTCGGTCGACGCTGTCGAAGGCCTTCTGGAAATCGATGAAGTTGAGGTAAAGATCCATTTGACTGGCATTCTATACTCTGTTCTATGATGATGCGTAGCGTAGTGTTGCAATTTGATCTGCACGTGATTTGTTCTTCCTGAATCCAGCCAGCCAGCCAGCCAGCCAGCCTGTTACGGTCGTAGTTTTGAATGCAGCGCATTGTTTAGTGTCTATAGGATGATGCGGCATAATATTTTGCTTGCATTGGGTGGACAGGGACAGGAGCATGATTCCGCGCCAGTTCTTGCAAACACTTAGGTCTTCCTTCTTCGGGAGTTTGACAAGTTAGCACTTCTTCCAATCACTAGCCAGGTACCTTCCCTTCCTACAGACCTTCTGCAATAGTGGTGTGAGCATGTTTGCTGTTGTCTGTGCATCTGCTCTCAGTGGTTCTGGGGGGATTCGATCTGGTCCTGCTGCTTTCCCACATTTCAGTGGCTTTATGGCGCTCAGGACTTCGACTTTTGTTGGAGGATTTATGTTCACTTGTAGTTGTGTGGCTGGGGTGCAGGTGGTATTTCTGGAGGAGTTGCAGGTGGTGGTGGTGGTCGATTCAAGAGCTTTTCGAAGTGGTCAACCCATTGTTTCCTTTGTTCCTCTTCTTTGGTAATTAAATTTCCGTCATCATCTTTTATTGGTTTCGTCTGTGCTGTGTTGATCTCTTCCCGTCCAGGTAGTAATCTGGTTATTTGGTGCAATGTTGTCAGGTTTCTTCTACGAGCAGCCTGTTCTGGTTCGCTTGCCAGTGTTTTGTAGAAGTGTCTTTTGTCTTTCCGTACAGTCTTCTTCACTTCTTTGTCCAATGCAGTATTTTATACCTTGTACTCAGTTCCTCTTCTCGTCGTTGAGCATCCTTGCACTGGTTTGTCTTCTGCTTCACCATCCTCCTCTCGCTGCTCTATCAGCTTCCATGTGTCCGTCGAGATGCATTCCTTGTCTTGTCAGCTTTTGCTTCCTATTACGGTTATGCAGGTTTCTTTCCACATAGCTTTCAAAGAGTTCCAGTGTTCATCCACACAGGTTTCTTCAGTGATGTTGCTCGATATCTCCCATTTCGTCTTGATGGCTGGCTGTCGTGAAGATGTCGCTGGTAGTTTCGTGCTTCAGTTTCCGAGTGTTGAACTTGAACTGTGGCCGTCTATCACCAACTTCCTTGAAGGCTTTCAACTTGATTTGGAAGGTGGGTTCCTTGCACTAGATAATGAGTGGTGTTGACCTACATCTGCTCTTCTTCTTTATCTTGTGTCAAGTAGGCTGGCTGCGTCTCCACTTTCTTGCTATTGAGATGAAGTCGAACTTATTTTTAGTTATGTGTGTTCTGGTTTCTGGTGAAATCCATGTCGCTTCGTTGATATCTTTGTGCTTGAACACAGTGCCTCCACTCTCCTAATCGTTGAATGCGCAGAATTCTGCAAACAATCCTCCATTATCGTTCATCATTTCGCCGAGGACTTTTCGACCCATGATCAGTTATCTGCCTGTGTTGTCTGCTCCCAGTTTTGCATTCATGTCACCCATGAAAATGAATTTTGATGTCGCCAACTGGAGTCTTGTCTAGTACTGATTGCAGTTGTCTGTAGAATTCCTCCTTCTTATCTTGATCTTCATTACTTGTAGGTATGTATCGTAGTGTCGCGTAGCATTGAATGGTTTTGACTTTCCTTCCTTTTGAGTTGAATCTGTCTTGCTGTTGTGACCCTGATCGTGCAGGAGGAGATTGGCTCCCAATGTATGAGAGAGGGAGAGCCTTCGATGCGCTATGGGACATCATGATATCCACTGGGAAACTCAGTGTGCCGTGCTGGTGGTTGTCGTGTGGGTGACAATATCGGAGTGGATTACTGACTCTGATGTTGACAGTTTGGAGAGTCCACCTCGATTCCATCTACACTCGCAGATTCCAAGCACTTCTATTCTATGCCATACCTCCTCATCTCTTTTGCAATCTGGGGAGCCTTAGTAGATTCATACATGGTGAGGACATTCCATGTCCCCATCCTCACATTCATTTTGATTGAGGGAGAGAAGAGACATCGGCTGACTGACTTCTCGATGGCTTTCACCGACCGGCGTCCTTTCGTCTCTCCGATTTCAGCGGGGAATAAGTTTGTTTTTATTTTTTGTATTTTGTTTGTGTTTTGAAGTTTCTGTAGCGGTGTGATCGGTTTTCCGGGGTAGGGTTGCTAGCTTTATGCCCAACCTTCCTTCGTTATCCGGGCTTAGTATCGGCTAGTAACTAGTGAACTAGTTAACCAGGCGAGGCACACTTACGACCCCACCAAGTGTCAAGCCCAGGACCTTGAAATTTTCCTTGGCGAGTGTGGTACGTTCAAGTGACTGGGTTAGAATCCGATTTTCTACGTTTTATTGTTTCTGTCAATTCACCATATAGCGTGTGGAGTATATATCCCCACGTCCGACTTACTTTGCTCCACGATGGTTCTCCAAATGATTCCAGTCCGTGATGGATACCATCTTGAGAAGTACCGGAATTGCCCTCAGCATGTGGAAATTATTGGATTCTCCAGCTTTTTTGTTGTTTACGTTGCAGTTTATAACATGAAGCCATGTTTGTTTGTCAAAAATAGTCGACGTTAATTAAAACGCCATGCTTGATAAGTCTTCACAGGCTGATCTATGGGTAAGCCATTTTAAAACTACAAAGAGAGAGATAATCATATAGGTTGCATGAAAGCTGAAGTAGCAACCTTTGGATTAGCAACTTGATAATCTACCAAATGAGATAATTAGACACAACTGTTATCCAGGTTAAAGTTGTGTTGCAGTCACCTGTTTTATTTCTTTGGCTCGTGTGGGCTTCACGACTAAGGTTTTCATTCATTACTTCAATACAACGGTACCTTTTAGCACTTATTTTGTCACTGGTACTGTTACCCAGAAGTCATTTATGACATTTACGAACAATAATGAAGATTACTGTGTATATAGGCATTTAACCTCTTCTGTTTAGCTAGTTATATAGGACTTTGTCACCAGTGAACGTCAGCCAGCTTGGCTTAGAAAATGGGTGACTAAATCTGCTGGTATTTGCATTCTACAATATTTAATGGATAGCGAACACTCAATTTGAGTAGCTGATATCACCTTGGTAATGCATGGAAGACCAAGTAGTCTGTAAAAATTAACATACAACTATTTCATAGCTATGCATTATGGAAGTCACGGGAATAATTAGGCGATAACCAGATTTGTGTATTTAAAGGAATTACAGTCAATCCATATGTAATCAAAGTAGTCATAATATTATTTGCCTTACCCCACTTACTTTTATTCACACTCTCTCTACAACACTACACTTACACAATATATTGTCTTTATTATTATTATTATTATTATTATTCCAAGTGGATATGCTTCCATTATCGTTACCAGTGTCTATCTCTTACTTGTAAATAATGCTTCTCGCACTTCGGTATTGTATTCATATAATTTTCATTCTAGTACTTTAAAAATTACCATTTTGGCATTTTAAATAGTAGATGGTTTGAATAAAAACATGTTTTTTTAAAAATAATGTTTTTACCACTGATTCAAATCTGATATGTAGCTTTAACAGTTCGTGGTAAAAAATATGTCATTGAAGTGATGGTAGACTGACTCATCAAAGGGAATAGCAAATTTCTAGTTGTTATCGAAGTTAAGAATCACATAAGTGAAGATATTAACTGTCACATGGGCTTAGTATTCCGGATATTTAGAAACAAGAAATATGGAGACAGATAATACGAGCTAAACGGAAGGAGAGAATCATCTGTAATAATTTTACTTCATAAACTGAATCCAAAAAAAGCGAAAGTAAAGTGACAGCAATTTACCCTGATGGTCGAGATAATGATAAACGTCTCAGAAATTTCTTCAGAATTCAAGGATTTTCTTTTTAAAGATGTACATTGAAATTGTTTATGTCAAGTTTAGTAGATGAATACGTAAACCGCATGGAAGACTGGATGATATGCGATAGACAATGATGAACACATACAGGGCTTTGCAATATCCGTTCGTCCCAATAATAATTGTTATCAACACTCAATAGGAATTTTCAGACTAACGGAAATTTCACAGAAAAGGTGTACTACATTTCAACACGGCAGTTGACTAGATCAACGAAGACTATTTATGAAACACGTTTTATCTCACTATGGTTGTAACTGAATAGTTTGTGAAACTTTGTTACAAGCCTCATAATCTACTTTAAAGAACCTAACCTTTGGGTGATTTTGTTTTACCACAGACTAGCTGTGATAAATCATCCACTCATTTTCCTTGTATTCCTCCGGTCTACCTGCTGATTAGTTGTCTGTGGATGAATGAAACAGTTCCTAACTGTTCATATTGCACAGATATAGCCGTTGTTCTGTAATAAATTCCTCGGTTGACGAAGTTATCTTATCAGTTTGAGATTGATTTGTAAAGTGTTATTATATCTCTTAAGACTACTTCTAATCTTATTTGTCGATTTTTATTTTGCAATGATTTTAGCTTCTTCTTATCGGTGATTCATGTGTAGGCAAAACATCTTTACTCATTCGTTTCAAAGATGGCATCTTTCTGAAAGGCAGTTACATTTCTACTGTGGGCATTGATTATAAGGTGAGATGAACTATTCATTAGGAATGAAGAATAATCCATCTAACTACTTGTCCTAATAACGGTGTAAAAACATGTCAGTAAAATAATATCAATAAATTTCAGTGTTTTGGTAAGTAGAGACTATTAAGAAAACTTTTTCGAATCAAGATTGGAATGAATTTATGCACACTGTCGTTATTCCTATCATTACTAGATGCTTCAGAAGCACCGAGTTAGAGTAAGCTAGTGGTTACTTTATTCAGCTCTCCTGTCCAATGAGAATAAAAAATCATTTCATTTTCGGGTACTAAAGCTCATATACATACTAGTAGGTAACTGGATCGTAACTGATGTATTTTGTCGACTTCTAGGTGTTAACTAGATACTGTCGATCAGATGTGTATTATGACTGCTAACCCACAGAACTCATTATTATGGCACACTTTTTTCGATTATAGATGACCTGGAATGGTCAGAATAATAAGCTGGAGCTTCCACTCATTCTAAATAACGGTCATCAGGTAGACCTATCTTCCACCTAAAGATATGTGTGTCTGAACTTATGTCATCCAGCATCGCATCCGGACGTAATTACTAAGCTGAGACTTTTAGGCATCAAAAAACTCCAGAAAGAATGTAACCGCTTTAGAGACTTTACGAAACATATAGAACAATTTGCCAGGTTACCCAGTCAGTTTGATGAGCGATATCTTGGAAATATGAAGTTAGATTTCTGAGAACGATACGTCTATTGACACCATAAGGTGATGTGTTTAGTGAATTTGCCTGATAAAAAAATCTAATCGGCCATCTCTTTCTGACATTTTGCCTTGGAAGGATTCGGGCAGCGTAACCAAATACTCCAATGAAATGAAGTTTCTTCTTCACAGAGTAAGTTATCGCATGTCTAAATAGTAAATGAGGACAGATGAGACAGAACTGTTTATAACTGATAATAATGTAGGAATAAGTGTCATCGTTATGGGTTCAAGGTGAAGATGTGAATATGTGTGATAGTGTGAATAAAATAGTGTGAATGAGAAACTCAGCTTGTTTGTTAGCGTGTGTTATGGTTATGTATTTTAGTTATGGTTAGTGTGCCCAATATGTTATTTTGGGTATACTATACCCGTTGGTTGGTTAGTTAGGCTTTCCTTTCTGTTGAGTGCATTAGGATTCAGCATAAGGTAGTTTTGTTGTTCCGCCAAGGTACTACTGAAGAACAATAAAGGATTTTAAGAGAAAACCGAATTGGAGCCTTTTACAATACAACCAACACCTCTAGGAATCCTTTAATCCACTTAAAAGATAAAATTCTTTTTACCTCCACACAGAATTATATCTACAACTTAGGTTGTCGATTGTGGTGCCTATTATATTGGGGAATCATTCCGAAAGATCCTCATCTCTGGTAAAGAACAAGCAAGTTATACAAAACGATCTACAAATAATCCTGTAGAACCAGAGAATTTGCAAGTCAAATCGGCAATCGCTGTTCGTGCAACCCATCGTAGGCGAAAAATTGACACTGAAAGTATCAGAAATATTCAAAAGGGATTTTGAAACTACGAAAATGGATAGCTGAGGCATTATGTTGAATCCTAATGCACCAAAAAGAAAGGAAGACCTGACTTTCCAACCAAATTGAATAGTATATCCAAAATAACATGTTGCACAAATTAGTCATAACTAAAATAAGCACACACGCAAATAAATTGAAATCATCCATGGTATTTTTCTGTAACATTCATATTCATTCATATGTGCAAACACATTCACGTCTTCACCATTGACCTCACAGATATCTGATAACGGCGACATTTATTCTCATAATATTATCATCTACAATATCATCTATATAATCAGATTGATGTGATGTACCTTTATTTACTATTTAAACATGCAACAACTTGTACAAGTTTTATTCTCTGAAGAAGTGGCTTACACAAGGTCCTTCATTGTAACTATACAAATATATTTCATTTATAATCTATTTAACTAGTCATCAACTTATTCACTTCTACTGGGGAAATTCTGATCCTGATGTCTATAAATATTTATTTTTCTTGTGGAAGTGATGCGTTATGAGATTAATATCACAAGGTCAAAGATTTTTGACTCAGTCTGCAGTGTTATCTACAGTGGAGTTTCATGAATAGTTCAACACAAGGTGTCTTTATTATCTAAAAGACTGGATATAGCTCAGTGATGTTTATACATACAGATATCCATAATGCACATGTTAGTTTAAATTCTTCGTAAATTTATAAAAAAATTGACAGCAAACTGTCATCACATTCTCATCGCATAAGTCAAGCTTTCAGAGAAATATCAGACAATTTTAATCATTGTCTGGTAATCAGAAACCAAGAAGCACTGTACAGCTATTTTATCCTATTTTGGTACAAATGCGAAGCACACTCATTTATAAATATGGATACGGGTTAGATGACATTATATCTGTCGATAAGTATATCATACTTAACCAGTCGGTTGAAATCTAGTGGTCAGTGAGTATTTGTCTTGACACGTGACTTTCTTTCATAATTCTCAAGCATCCATCTTGAAGCTGTTAAGAGAACACACGATTTTTAAGCAACTAAGCGCTTTTTAGCTCAGATGGTTACTCTTAGGAGAACAATAACACGTTTGACCCTCAATTATTTTTTTGCTAAATCAAGTTATCTTGACTTGTTGAAATCCATTTGAATGACTTCACAATCAGTTTTGATCAAATGCAAATAGATGTCTCAAAATAATTATTAATAAAGGCATAAATGAATGATTCCTGGATTTTCATCACATTTATTCAGTTAGGTTACCCTGGCTCCGCATTATATCTAAAGAAGTTTGGTAGTGAAAGAAACTGTCGATGCTAAGTGATACAGTAAATTATAGGCTAGCGGAAAACAGGTATCGTAAAACCTCTGGTTTCTCATAGTTCTTTATATGCTATTTAGTCGTGTGCAAAACTTTTCTTATTACCGAAAATTTTATGTTTTTATTACATTTCCTCTTGTTTATTTATTTTGAATGTTTATCCGCCTAGACAAAAACAATCAAGGCCAATAATCAATTAGTCCGATTACAAATATGGGATACAGCAGGACAAGAGAAGTTTCGCAGTCTAACAAAATCTTATTATCGTGATACAAGTGGTAGGAATGCATTTTAAGATAATAAGCATATCTTTTCTTTTTAATACAGCTGTTCTACTTGTATACGATATATGTAAAAAGGATTCCTTTATTCACATAAAGGTGGGTAGATTAATTTAACCTTTAATAAGGGTCTCTGAAAAAGTAATTGAGAGATATTTATGTGGTTTTTGCTTATCGTTTTTGTGCTTAATTATTTTACGTGGTCTCAGACTCGCTTACCATTCATGCATATAAGGATCCCTTTAGTGAGTATAGGTGTCTTAAACTGTGTGAACCATAATAATAATAACTTTTTAACAAATCACTTAGATGAAAGTCGGAATAAAACTTGTCTAGGATCCGAGTGAGTTTTTCTCTGAGACAGGGGTTTTGTTGGTAAACGTTGCAGAGTCGTGTTAGACATCGCAATCAGTCCATAAGTTTCCTTGTGAAACTTGGAGCTGCAAATAATCGCTAGAAAATTTTGACTTTCTAACAAGTAAACAGTGCATTTCTAGTAAATATTTTCGGTATAAGTCAATGCTGGTTAGGCAGTCTGTGAGTATTGATGGATGCTTTACTGATTCACCATTCTTTTGAAGTGTCTTCGGATATAGGCTACCTAAAGCAAGGAATGGCCTATCATTGTGTTATCTTTATTAGTGTTTTGACTTATGGAGGCTTATGTGAACATTTTTATTTAGGGTGGTAAATCCACATTTCCTATGAAGATGTATCGGGAACAAAAGAAGTAATAGATATTGATATGTGAGCTGAATCTATGGTTTCAGGACTAATGACACAACCTGATTGCCTTAATCTCGTGCAGCGAAGTTTAAACTCGTAACCGATTGGTATTTGTTGGTGCGTTCTACTCAATCGAAATGATCTATCTCTGTTGGCAATATGACCTCATGTGTGGATGCCTCGATATTTCCTGAATGTTTGCTGTTATAATCTACCTTGTGGTGGCTAGCAGCAGTTGAAAAGTAACTGTCCAGACAAATGTAACACGGCTCCACAGTTAAAGACGGGAGTTAGATTAGTGCAAACTGTGAGGTAGTTTCATAAAACCCTCACTGGAAACATTTAGCATCATATTACAGCGGTTTCTCCTGGATTGGTTTTCTAACCAAGGAAATAATAGCTGATTTTGTACGCAGATGATTAAATCCTGTTAAACGAAGATACCGGATGAAGATGGTGAGTGTCTTAAAAAGAACTTAAATTATGTTTTCGCACCCAGCAGATGTAATATGACACTTCAGGACTAGTCTGCAGAAACTGTGAGGTGATAGAATGTATTGACCACTTTGTTTACTTGTGAAGTTGCATCAGTCCTAATTAGCTGCTTGATACTGAGTTTTTAGCATGGACACAAAAACTTCGTTTATCCTCTGCCAGCTTACGCTATAGGTGACACTGGTGGAATGCTTAGTTATCTATCCTATTAAACGTTTGCTAAAAATGAACGGTTAAAGTAGAAGATATGAAGGCTTGTAGTTTTTGATTATAGGTGTACCATTTCTCGCGTATGGTGGAAGCACCATGTTAGCGATGTCTAGGTAAGAAGAGTCTGTTGAACAGTTGGTGAAATTCATTGACGTAGATAGTTTGAAAACATGTTGAGTGTGCCAGGACACTGACTTTCACGATGCTTTGTGTTGGTTAGGAGCTTCAATTTAGAAGAAAGCTATAAGCGATCAGAACAAGACGTGGCACCACTTCTTGAGGTCACAGAGGGGAATATAGATTACTTAGCTGTGGTCCTGAGGATGATAACAAACAGTGGCTGTAAAATACTGCTAATTTGACTCAAAACCGATTGCAGTAGAGTAGATTATGCACTCCTTATCATCTTAAGAATTTGGAACTAAACTTCAATAATTTCTTCCTACACTTTTAATAATTTTAACTTGATTTTTTTTATATCAGCTTCTTTTTACATGCTGTATTGAAGCGTGGGAAATTAAAATGCTTCACTTTTGAGTAAAATTGTTAGCTGATTTTCCCTCTGCCACCCTTTCAACCGCTAAGCTTTATTCGTAGTCAAATGACCTGGTTCTTGTTTTTTCAGGAGATGCAAAGCCACAGTCTTTTTTGATATCATGCTTTGTTTATTCAGTTGCGGAACACAAAGTTTTAATTGATAAGATTTTACCTGTAGACGAAGAATATGGCATGTGTACAAACTCACTTTCAGTTTCAGAAAGAAATAATTGCCTATTCCAGTACACCCCATTTAGATCTCACTGTGTTCTAATTCGATGAGTATTAGAAAATTAGTTGGTGACTGAACAATACTTAGATCCTTGTGTGCCTAAAAATCCACCGATAAATGTGATGTTGATGGGCAACGTTGTTGATAGGAGCTGCTAACTTTTAGCTACTGCTCTTTGCAATTTCGTCATGATTGTACATCACCTTGATCCACATAAACTTTTTCACGCTTATTTTTTTCATCCCAGGGATAGATCTTAATGCCATGTTTGTTTATGAGTCTTTGAAGGTGATCATTTTCTCATGCAAACTTGTAAATGATTGTAAAAGTTTCTATTTTTTTTCTGAATGACAATTTATTAACCATGTAACTGATTAATCTCACCAAATGTTTTATATTACTATTGTATAGGTTTTGGTGTAATCCCAGTGCTTTTTTTACATTACCGTTTAGCTGTTTGAAACCAATGTACTTTGACTTCGAACTGCGACTCACATCATTACAAGACAGTTGAGTTTAGTTTTCATAGTTTATGCTTATCGAATTTATAAGTATTACCCCTAATGATCGTTAAGTCATTTCAGATGAATGTTTAGTCAAAAAATGAAATACGTTGCTAGTTGATTGAAAACCATCGGCAGGTAGCCCTGGGCCTAGGTTTCGTGCTTGTTGGCACTCCTCAACATGGCTTATCCGCAATCTTGACGGAACTGATGATACTGACACATTGAGTCTAGATGATACATCACCGAATACTGACTAGTGTAAGGGTGGAACTTTAGAAACTTGACAGATTTCAATTCCAAATCGGTTTTTGTATGTGATGTAGTTAATAAATATTGTTTACCGCTAACGGGAAATATAAGAACCTTCTTGACTCTACAAGTCTGATATGATTTCGATTATTCTGTTAGTCCTAAGCCTAATTGGTTTATACTTAATGATTTTAAAAATAAAACGAACTTACACAAAGTCTTGAAAGCTTTCATGCCAAATTACAGTTTGTAAAATAATTCAAATGAGCGCTGGAAGCTAACATAATACTTACTGAGTAAATCTTATTCACATAAGTGAGACTTATATCACTTATCAATCTTTATACCTTTTATTTAATGATTTTAATCTAAACGTCTGAAAGGCGTTAAGAAATTGAACTAATAACATTAAACCTAAAATGATGTTGGACAAATAAAATTAGTGATACTGAGTGATGGATTGAAGGTAAAATGAAAATATAAATCACTGCAAGACTCGAACCGGCAGCACCTAGATTACCGGCTGGATGCTTTACAAGCTGAACTGCGAGACTCAGCCACTGGCCAGATTTTAATCTCACTACGGTCTTCTCTTAAGACAAGTGAACAGCTTATTCGTTTGTGAATCCACATACAACGTCCAGCCAGACAGGAGTTAAAGGCAATTATTTTTTACACGTGACTGTTCTGTGGGGTGACAAGTAAGGCGGTTTACAAGTGTACAGTAAAATATTCTTTACAAAAACCCAATATCTAGACATGTAACTAGTTTGATTATTTACGTTGTATTCAATATTTCTCAAATCCACACTGCACTTTGCAAAATAGCTTGTCATAGCAATGATATCACTTAAATGACTGAAATGTTACTGAGTAAATTTAGACCTTTTGACAACAGATGAAATGAAAAACATAGATCTTGTCACATTTCTCAATGGATTCAAGAATACATATTTCTTATTAGTCTGGATAAAAAAATGAATAAGGGAAATAAACTGGATGAAAAGTTGCATTGATGGAGATAAGTGTAGCAATTCAGTATAATAAGGCTATTCCTAATTATTTTCATTTGTGTCAAATAGACCATGCAGTCAGCAACAGCTGTCTTTGAGAATTAAGAAATTTTAGGCTGCTCAACACTGTAACAGTCTGTAGACAAAAACCCATAAGTCTATATAATGTCCGGTATCACAAAACACTTCACTCTTTCTGTGTGTACACTATATGCCTTAATCCCGGCATGTGATTGGTTATTTAAGCATTCAGCATTTTGTTAAGATTTTACTAGATATTGCTCTTCCAGAGGTGATATCCCTTTCCAGTCTGGTGATTCACTTAGCACCTGCGGTCATTACATCCTTTTTTGCAAAATCTTTATTAGTTATTGCAAATGACAGAAAATAGTTTTTCACTGAGTAGATAGAAAGCATGAATGCATAAAATAAATTCATCCTTTCACGCTAGTTGTTTAAAAGATCAGAAATGTTACCAGTCTCCAGTTATTCTATTTCTATGTTAAGACTTATCTTTAAGAGATGCATTCTAAGAAGTTCATAAGCATAAAGCTTTATCCTTATGATAATGTATACAGTAAATACCGTTAAATGAACGTGCGATATTGAACAAGCCCTGTTAATTCCACTTACTGACTAAAACCTAGACAATAACTGTATGTTTATACATCATGGGGCTGAATGAATCTGATTAGAAAGGTGAGGTTAGCTCATGTCACCCTATTTCCTTTCAGGTTTTAAGGGCTCATCCGATATCCTCAGGACATAGAGAATCAATATTTATTCTTTATTACATGATGCAGGTAAATCATGGTTGAACTGATTCATAATTTGCGTACGCTCATTAGTCCAGTTCCGTAAAGTGTATCATACTAGCTGTTATCTCCTCTGAGATTGATTTAAATGTCCCAACAGTTGTAGCCACCCCTTACGACTTTGCAATGCCCTGCTGTGTTAGGTTTATTTGATGAAAGTTAGCCAATGTCTGTTCCATACCAGTTTTACTGTGTACCATATTTTATGCCAAGGAAGTTATCTTCACAAAATCGATCAGTATATCTTTTGAGATACACATACTTATACGACGATACAGCTGAATGTTACTCACGTGGGGTATAGCTACACCAGTAT